AAAAAAAAAAAAAAAAAAAAAAAAAAAAAAAAAAAAAAAAAAAAAAAAAGAACGAAGCAATGACGGAACGAAAGATCGGGGGAATGTTACGCAGATGAATAATAAATTGCGATTTTACGTCTACCGACAGGCAACAGCTCCTATGCCAGGATGCACGATGAAGATCTTCAGCGGAGATCCAACGAGGCATCAAGTGGCGGAAAACGTAAAGATCGGAGACCCTCTGACCTTGGTCATTAGCATCGACAAACAGGAAATGTTCGGGCTCAAGATCTCCGACTGTCTGGTCCGCGACGGCCTGGGATGGGGAGAGCAGAGGCTTATTAACGACGAGGGGTAATTTCGCTTTTGCATATCTCGTCTGCCACCGAGGAAAGCTGGGAGACGTTAATGACAAATATGATTATTTAAAACTGTAAGCTATTGATGTCTTTCGATGTTTGGAGAAGTATAAGGATCACAGTTAGATAACTCTTTTTTTGAAGAACTAAAGCTCTGATGGACACGTCGAATACAATAGAATCAGTATTGTACTCGTTTCTGTCGAAATATTATCGAAATAAAATCCCTACGTGATGTGAAATTTGTAACTTGGACAGACGTTTTCTCATCCGAACGCATTTATCTGTCTGCTAGTTCCTCGAGATTTTATGCAGATTCTTGTTAGAACTGACAGAGCTTACAGATGATCCTTCAAAGTTGGAACGATACTTTGTTAGAATACATATCACGATCACAGTGCATAGTGTCTTCTGACGAGCTAACTTCTTGCAAAATATGTCATAACAATCTTGCAATCAGAATCAATAAGTTGGTCATCCAACACGTATTCGGATCAACAGAAATCGTCTTCATTTTCATAGGTTCGTATGAAATCGAAATTCCATTCACGGAGACGTTTAATAATGGACAAGATAGCGAACGTAAGAACAATTCTTTGACCGGTATACAAATAAATTGCTCGCGTCAGAGTGTTGCATGAATTATTCAAAAGTCGGAATTCAGGATACAAAGCAAGTTGGTTCACTGACTTCTTTTCATAAGCAAATCAGCTGATCTGACCAACAGGTTGCACACATACTTTCGCTCTCGATTTGTTTGTGCAACGAGGAATATTTCTAAAATAGACGTATTCTCTGAAGGACAGTTTTGGATAGTTGTGCGAGAAAAATGAAGCAAGTACGTGTTGAGAATTTATGATAACTGGGTATGAATGCTGTCCTTCACATTTTT